TTCAGTGATTTCACCCAATCGCTGCCACCGTACCCCAAATGTGACGGTTCTATTTAATATGAATAGGATCACTGAGGATGTCTTCTCTTGGATTCCGATTGTTCCTCTCTGGTCTCTTCATAATTTATTTTCCTAAAATTGAAAAAAATTACCTCTGTCCATTTATCTTATTTTTGCTGATATTGCTGTTAGCTGATCTTCACAGAGTTTGCTTAGGCAATATGCAAGGTCTTCCCTAAACCTGCCTTCTTTCAATGTCATGTCCATCAAATTTCTTTCCGTCAGGATATCTATGGCTTCTCGGATCTTGCGTTTTATTATATTTCCACCGTATGCAGCCAGCCTTTCTGTCGATTTCAAGTCGATCTCCTGTCTCCTCCGTGCAATGTGTTTCGCTATTTCAGATCCTTCTCTATCAAAGTTTCTAGAGTCTTTGATTTTCCTTGATTCGCAGTCAGATTTTTCTTCCTGTTTCACCAATCTACTTCTGCTCACAGTTGCTGCATTTGATGCAATAAACTCCCGAGCAATCTAGTTTGTCAACCTTCCCGTATTACATTTACGAAATAGTGAAATGTCTTGTCTTCTCCTTTGTTATCATGTTGATATTCTATTCTCCTAGTAACGGTCGCAATCCTTGGCACAGTTCACATGAGGGTAGGCATATCCACTTTTGGTCACCCTCCCGATTCTTGCTCTTATTTCCATAAAATCCGAGTTTAAATATGCTCTATAAGTTCTTTGTGAGTCAATTTGTCCATCTTCTCGACCCAGAACTCAGTGTCCGCTAGTCTTTAGTTGCTGATGCTCGTACTCCTCAATATTCTGATCTTCTATCTGCAGCTGTGATTAGACTGGAAATTGAGGATTATTTCGACATGCGATTTCTTTCTGAATAGTGTCCTCTTGAGTGTCCCGTTGAAGCGAATGATTTCAACATCCAGGAAGGGTAGTCGTTTGTCTCCTCCACTTCCATCATGTTGATTTATAAAATTGAAGAACTCATCCAAATTTGTCTTGCCATTCGACCAAAGTGCGGGGTAGTCGTCCAGATATCGCATAAGCACTTCTGGTTGCAGCAGTGACTTCTCAAATTCCTTATCAGTTTGTCCATGTATACATTTTCCAAAAGAAAATGTGAGAATAGAGATCCCCTTGTTAGTCCAACTATTTGCTCATAGATATTGCTGTTGAAGGTAAAATATGCTGTACTTACTGTCAGATTGAGTAGATATCTTAACGACTCCTTCCGTATCCGCTCTGCTTCCATGATATCCTCCTCTCGTTCGAAGTCCTCCAGCAGGGCGGTGACTGCCTTCTCGCAAGAGATGTTCTTGTACATGGATTGTTCATCAAGCGAGAAATTTCATATAAATTTTTCATTGTCGTTTACTTTCTGAAGCTTCAAGCATATAAATTTTGCTAGTTTGTGTTTTTTTCATGCATTTTGTTGATTCTTTATCTTAATGGTCTTCCTTCTTTGTGTATCTTCGGTATTTCATGGATTGTGAGTGGTCTTGCGTCATTTTTTTAACGAATTTAACATCCATCTGTTAATTTCTCCGTATTTTTGTCATTTCTTTAACATTTACTGTACTATTCAGTTGCTCTCCATCCTTTGAGTTTTCCTTAGTATTTGATAAGTATTCCAGTGGCCAAAGTTACTTTCTATTTTATCCTTGTTTTATTGCTTGTCTCTCATCACCAGCGCACCTCCCTTATGCGTCTGAAGTACTAGTTGGTCAGCCGTTTGTAATTGTCTACCAAGCCTCATCAATTCCCTCCTTCTTATTGGCTCTTGATGGGACTCGGGATTAATTTCATTTCTATCTCTCGTTTGGTTTCTTCTGTGCATTTCTCAGAGATGTTGATGACTTCTACAAGGATATCTTAAAAAATCTTATCTTCGTTACGCTGTGAATAATTTAAGCGCTTCTTCAGGAGATCCACCGTTGCGGAATCAACAGGAATAGCGTACAAGTTCACTGCCTTATCCCAATCGCCCTTGAAAGGAATGTGTGCTTCCAATACTAAAGTATGATTTGACTGGAATGGCTGAATCCTGCCATTTCCTATTATCCCATATCTCAGAAATTTCTTATCTTGCCGCTTATTTAACAATTCCTGGACCCTCTGTGACTTCTGACCAGTCATACTCTTGAGTTTTTGAAAATCTTTCGATGTAAGATCCTTTCTTAGATCCTTCCTTAATCTAGATTTAATATCTATGAACTCAAATGGCTTACGCTACTCAGCCTCGAGACTTTCATCTAATTTCTAGAGGGAAGCGTGATACGGAATTTCAGTAACTGGTCCGAATGACACTTTCTTATTAGGTTGTAGAACCTGATAGCGATACCATAATGTTTACAACAATCCAAAGAGGTCAAATGACATAAATGACTCACAATTGCCTTTTTTGTCCAACTTTATTAAATTTGAGTAGGCTCTCTAGAGTTAGAGCCTACTGAGACTTCTGAAGCATGTTCATTCCGAAAATAGACACCTCTAGTTATGTATTATAAGCACAATGGAAATATAGGAGTGGTCAAAGCAAAGTAATTTGTATATTTTTCTGAGTCAATTTTACCTCACTGAGATTCATGCTTTTTTAAGTACTTTTTAGTGTTGTTGTTTTTTCTTGCGTCCTTATTCTCAATTTGGCCTAGTTTAAACCATACGCGGCTTCAAGCTATTACTCTGCATAATTGAAATTCTTATAATTCAATATGCTTTTCATTATTTTAGCATAAATTTTTCCTGTTATTCAGCATATTATCTGCTTTGAATTCCTAGATAATACAAGATATATCACATGCGATTCATTTTATAAAGAGTGTTTATACTATAGAGGAATTTTATATGTCACGGAATAGCCTACTTCGAGACTTTCTATTAGTTGGCTTTGGATATGGGCCTGTCTCCATAAGTAAGTTTATTCAATTTGTTAATGGACATTGCTCATATGCATCATTCATGATAGCTATCTGGTAAGCTAGTACGTGCGTGCTTACTTTTCAAGCTATTTTACTCTTAAAGATAAGCTGACTTTTAAAGACTTTATGCTTACCAATTAATATACTTATAAGTTTCTTATAATATTTTATTCCAATTTTAAATTTGTTGAAATTATTATGGTCATTATAAATAAATAGATAGTCTTAAATTGGTTAACGAAACTGTCCTCTTACTCAGAGTTTTTAATAATTTATCCTCATATAGTAGCATTACATTTAATTCCTAAGTGGAAGTTCTAAATAGTGTCCTGTTGTTAAGCTCTTCTCTCTAAACTATATTAATAAAAAT